AAATACAAATACCATTTGACCCAGCCATCCCATTACTAGGTATATACCCTAAAGAAGTGAGAGCCATAACAAGAACAGATATATGCACGCCGATGTTCATCGCAGCACTATTTACAATAGCCAAAACTTGGAAACAACCGAGATGTCCAACAACTGAGGAATGGATAACCAAACTTTGGTACATTCACACAATGGAATACTATGCAATGCTAAAGAATAATGTAGAATCTGCAAAACACCGCATAACGTGGATGAACTTGGAGGACATTATGCTGAGCGAAATAAGTCAGTCACAAAAGGACAAATATTGTATTAGTCCGTTATTGTGAAAGTTAAGGAAAGGTTTATATATTGGAGGACATTTTCTTTGTTGGTTACCAGGGGTGGGAGGGAAGGGGAGGGAATGCTGTTAGATAGATAGAGATAAATATTGATTTGGGTGAAGAGAAGGGCAATGTACCAAATGTGAGTGACCAATATGGCAGCATTGAGGATGAGAAAGACAGAGAGAGTTACATGGGCAGTACAAACAACAAATATGAACCCCTTTGCAAATACAATACTGAGTTGTCAATAAAAGCAAACATGGGTATAGGGATGGATAGATGGGTGAACAAGCTAAACAATTATGTATGTCTAAATGGAGAGTGTATCCAAGATCATATACAGGGTTGGCAGACAATGGGCCTCTCAGGGTGCAGAAGAGTATGAAGGGATGGACACTGGGAGGAGGTAACTATGGGGAGGAAGTGGGAGGGGAGCTGCTGCATTGTAAATTTTGGTCAATGACATGAGACAAAGTATATGTGAACTGCTGTATGAAAAGTGAATTTACTCTGTAAATCTTCACCCAGATCCTAATAAAAAAAAAAAAAACTGGGCTTTTTAAATGTGCATTACTTTGATAAAATAATATTTAAGTTTAAAGAAAAAAGAAGGATTAGGTGCCCACAACAGCAGTTTGCTGGTCAATGTTTAATAATCAGTTGAGGTTGGAACCTGATTTTTAGCACTGAGTTTTATATCAATTTCTATGGTACCAATTTCAAGATACCAGTGGAACTCCACACACAAGGTCATATTTTGGCTCTCAGAGACTTGTTTTAATTTTCTTCAGCTTTAACTCAAACTTGCATATGAACAATTGAGGTTTGTTCCACAGTCAACCCCTGGCTTTGCAAAAATTCTCACAACTGGACCAATAAGTAACATCATGACAAATGGAGAAAAGATTGACATTGTCAAGAATTTCATTTTTCTTGGATCCACAATCAACACCCTTGACCAAAGCAACGTATTGCATTGGGCAAATCTGCTGCAAAAGACCGCATTAAAGTGTTGAAAAGCAAAGGTATCACTTTGAAGATTAAGATGTTCCTGACCCAAGCCTGACTCATGTGCATGTGAGAACTACAACGAATAAAGAAGACCACAGAAGAACTGATGCATTTGAATTGTGGTGTTGGCGAAGAATATTGAAAGTACCATGGACTACTAGAAGAACAAATAAATCTGTCTGGGAGGAAGTACAACTGGAATGCTCCTTAGAAGTGAGTGGCAGACTTCATCACTTGTGCTTTGGTCATATTATCAGAAGGGACCAGTCCCTAGAGAAGGATATCATGCAGGGTCAAGCAGGGGGTGAGTGTAAAAAGGGGAGACCCTCAACGAGATGGACTGACACAGTACCTGTGACAATGGGCTCAAGCATGGCAATGATTTTGTGAGGATGGCACAAGACTGGGCAGTTTTTCATTCTGTTGTATACAGGGTTGCTATGAGTCAAAGCCAACTTGATGGCACCTAACAACAACAGTGGGACTCCACTGGATTGCAAAATTCCTGAAATTTTAACAAAGGACCAGTAGGAGCCAGTTCCAGCACACCACTGCCCATAGCCAACTTCCAGTACACTGCTCAGTCAGTGTGGAGCAGGAAAGAGCAACCTCCATTTGGCAGCCAAGCCAAGAGGCAGTAAGCTACACCCTGTCCCAGGGCTTCAAAAGTCACTTTCTCCCATTGCCATTGCCCCTAAGCTCCCCATTACATTCCTCCATTGCCCCCAAAAATGAGAGACATCAACGTATCACCTCTCCTCTCTGCTGCTCAACTGACCCTCCATTGTTGCCAAGGAGGGCAAAAAGGCTGATCAGGGTTTACCCCTGGGTTCTTATAATCATTATTAACACCCTCCTTTCCACTTGCTACTGGAGCTCGTGGTACAGTGGTTAAAGCACTGGACGGCTAACCCCCAGTTAGCGGTTCAAACCCACCAGCTGCTTCATGGGAGAAAGATGAGGTAGTCTGCTTCCATAAAATTTACAGCCTTGGAAAATCTAAGGGGCAGTTCTACTCTGTCCTATATGGTCACTATGAGTCAGAATCAACTCAACAGCAGTGGGTTTGTTTTTCCACTTGCTGATTGCATCTCGAAGAGGCCAGCCTCCCCAGTGCTGGTTTGCTGCCTTCCAATGTGTTTTCCTGCAATGTCTTCATTGTTTTTTAAACCCCACCACAACAAAACAATTTAGAGACACTCTTGGGTTTACAGAGCTTTTCCTGGAAAACCAGCCTCATATATTGGAGAAATACAAATGACCCTGTGTATTTCTTGACCCTCCTCCCCTCAAGCACAGACAAGCGCCACTGGAACCCTAGTGTTCCTAGCTTTCCTTCCCTCCCCCAACCCCATTCCTACAATCTCAACTCGCTCAGTCCTCTCTTCCAGCCTATTTACACACTCACACACACACAGACACACACACAAACACTGCCATCAAGTAGACTTATAGTAAATCTTAAAGGAAGTAGATTGCCTCATCTTCCTCCCACAGAGTGGCTAGAGGGTTTGAACCAGCCTTCTGGTTAGCAGCCAAATGCTTTGCCCACTATGCCAGAAAAGCTCCTTTCCTGCTGGCTTACACAGGCCTTTATCAGAGTACACAGGCCTTTATCAGAGTGCACAGTTCTGTGTCCGTACAACCAGGATTGGGGTCAAGCACACCACCTCCATCTGGAAACCACAAGACATCATTTTACTTGGGAAGTTTACACGTAAACTTACATGGCCCTTAGAGCATTTCATCCAAGCCCCTCACTTTATAAACAAGGAGACTCAGAGAAAGACCAGGACTTGCTACTAGGTAATACAGCTGATTAACAATAGTAATTGACATTTATACACTGTAGCTCTCTACATTTTGCAAAAGTATTTATGCATGTATTATTTCAGCTGACTCTCACAACCCCTTCATCAGGTGAGAATTATTATTTTCTTGTTTTATAGTTGAAAGAAGCTCAAGAGAGCAAATGAAAATAGCAAACCCCATTCTAACTCCCAATTCCAAACTCTCTCCACCCTGCCCTTCTGTCCTGGGCATAACGTGGTGACAGTAAATAGAACCAGTTTAGGAGACTAAACCCTGGAACAAAGCCTTATCCTTCCCACCATCCCTGATCTCCTGCGAGGATCTCAAACAATCTTTTTTTTTCTGCTCATTCTGTGCAATAGAGAAGGAGTTACCTGGAATGTTCTCACATCATGTTTCCATCTTGAACAGTGCCTTTCTCGAGAGCAGGAGAAAGGAGAATGGGAAGGAAGTGGGGGGAGGCGTATTTGAGAGAGCCATTGATTACACTAGCAGGACCTGGAGCAAGAGCCTGAGGTGTGATGTTAAGGAAGGCAACAGAGACCCAAAGAACCCTGAGGCAGCAGTGAGTGCTGGAGCAGGCAGGCCTGGAGATTTAAGCAAGGAACAAGCAGTGAGGCAGGGCACCTTATAAAGTGCAGCTCCATAAAAGAGTGAGCTGTTGTATTTATATTAACAAAAAGATTAGGAACCCAAAGGCTGCCCTTGTTAACCCATCCTATCCCAGCTACTGATAATTCTTTCTCTGAGGGGCCCCTGTACATCTATTCTCCTAAACCCCTTCCCTCCCTCTACACCTCTGTCAGACTTGGAAAAACTGATGATGTAGCAGCTCAACAAAGGGGCTGAGGTAGAAACTTCCCAGCCTGCCTGCCTCCCTGTGTTCAGGCCCTCCCAACCCATACCCTTGACCAATTGGGATATTTGGTATAAACCTAGCTGGGTTAAGTGTGTGTGTGTGTGTGTGTGTATTGGGAAGGGAGTTGGGGGTGGGGTCTGGGACAGGGGAGGTCACAGCATTTCTACTGGGAAGAGATAAGAGAATCTGGGGGAAGAGGGAGACCTTGACTACAATTAGAAAACAGGGAGAACCTGAGAGGCCTAAGTGGGAGGGGAAGCAGGGAGAATGCAAAAGAGACCTACTGTGATTTGGCCCATCCAAATCCCAGTCACACACAGCAGGGCCGTTCATCTGAAAGCCCATAGCCTTCCTCCCAGATTGCCACCCACCCCAAAAAAACTAGTAAGTACCCTCCAGAGCAGGCAGACCCCCAGCCCTGGACCTCTGTAGGAGTCTGCCAAGAATGTCAAAAGTGTGGACCTGAAGCCCAGAGCCATGAGTTCTGGTCTCAGCCCTCAGCACTCCCCACCTACCAAACCCTGAGCACTCAAGCAACTCCTATCCCCTTTTAGGTCCCAATACCTTATCTGTAAAAGGCCAGGATGCTTTGCTCTACCAGAGTCCTGGTAGAGAACAAAGGAGTATGTTCAGAAGCCACCTTAATGCAGGACCTTAAATCGCTCCCTCAATGGAGGAGGAATGGGCTGTGGATGCTGGGGCCCCAAAGGGCTGAGGGGAGGCTCTCTCAGCATGTTTGAGGGATAGAGTGACAAGCAAGTGAGGGGTGGGCACGCAAGAAAGAAGGAACCAGAGGGAAGGAGGGGTAAGGAAAGACCAAAGGCTGCATATCTGGGAAGGCCAAAGGATGACCCAGTACCTGCCCATCATACGGTCGAATCCAGGTGTGTGTGTGGAGGGGGGGGACTCCGGGGATCACTTTCTCCCTAGGGGTAGGAATGGGGGAAGGGTCTACCTAGCAGGGATGGTGGGGATGAGGAGTAGCTAGTTACCTTGGCTTTGTTCCTGTTCTCTCTGGGCCCCTCAAGCTGCAGCCAGAAGTAGGGGGTGTCCGGCCGGTTCTGGAAGGCATTCAGCTTGACTCTGAAGATGCGCTGCACTTGCAGGCGCTGTCGCTGCACCCGAGGCTTCGATTTGGTCTGAACCATGAACCATTCCTGCGCCGAAGGATGGCCACCGGACTGGAGCATGGCTGCCCAGCCCGCCCCTGGAGGTGGGCAGACCGCAATGTCAATGGGGTGGCAATGCTGAAGGCGCCCCAGGCCCCTAAGGGAGGAGCTTACGCCACGCCCCCCCCCCAACTCCAGCGCGCCCCGGCCACGGCCTCTTTCCTCTGGGTTCCCAGACCCACCCGCCACGGCTCCACCGTCTGCTTTCCGCGCTCCGACCCTTTCAGCGGCGGCTACCGCGACAATCTCTTCCGGCCAGGGTTAGCAGCTGGGGGTGGAACCGATTGAGCTCCGGCCGCCCTTCCCTCCGCCCCCAGCCTTCCCTCTTCGCCACTCCGCCAACCCCTCCTGGATAAACTCTTGCTCGGTCTGCTGGGTAGCTTAGAAGGGCGCGGGAGGCGGAGGGAGGGGAAGACCAGACAGGGAGGAGGGCGCACGGGAGGGTTTCTGGAAACCTATGCCTTCCACCCCAGGTCTGGGGCCCAGAGCCAAAATCCAGGGGTCAGTGTTAATTTCTTTCCACATCTCCCTTTCCCTGTGAAAGGAAGGGGAAGGAGCAGGAGGAGCCTTTGGGTTGGAGGCGGGGGACGGGGGTGGGGGGTGGGGGTGGTTATAGCTTGGCTTCCAGGGACCTTTTTCTGAGATTTAGGATAGGCCTTTCTCCCCATCTCCCAGGCTTCCCTCGAAAACTGTGTGCGCCTGTCCCTAGCGGAAAGGGTTAAGGTGGAGCAGGGTGGGGAGCCCCGGGAGGCTGAGGCCTGAGGAAACTGGGCTGGAGACCAAACAGGAAGGAAGGGGTAAGAGGACCAACTCCCCACCCCCCACGGAAGTCTGGGGACTGCCTGGGCTTGGCAGGCAGCCCAGACCTTCCTGAAGCCCCCCAAGGCTGGAGAGGTGGGAGGGTGGTGGTGTTCAAAGACTGGAGTCGTTTATGGAAGTCTTTTGTAGCAAGTTCATTTATACTATGTGGAGAGACTGGAGGGTGGGAGTGAGTCTTGTCAATAATATAGGCAATCCCAGATGATGAATGAGTTCTGATCCTCAACGTGTCTTTAAATCGAATTTGTGCGTGTGGATCAGTGAGTCGGACTGGTTATGTAGAGTTCTATCTGACATCAATAAATCAAATGTTTGTCTTAGTATATAGTACACATAGTAATTTTTTATGCATAAAAAACATTAAAGAAATACAGATAACACTAAAACATCTTTAATAATACAATAATAATGTTTTGATGCGTGTAGCAAAGTAGCACCCATTTGTTATTACGAACCATTGTGTGTACCTCAAATTTTTAATAGAATAAACATTGTGGGAGTTGGTTCATAAAGGATGGTATGTAGGTTAGGTGTTTGTAACCCAGAGACTGCCTGTATAATTTATGATGCCCCCTTCAACCTCTGACTCACAACTAGCTGATTGGCATCGGTGCATGAGCCATGGGCTGGAGGGCTGCCTCCAACACCAAGGCCCGAATGAAACCAGTTGCAATGGGTTCCTGGCTTTAACTCAAACAAGAATGGGAGATAAAGCAGAATGAGTAAATTCGACTTTATTTCTTGCAGTGCGAAAGAAGACAGCGAGATTAGCTTCTCAAAGAACTGCCTCTCTGAGCAGAGGGCTCAGGGAGCTTTTATGCTTAAGTGAAAATGAGGACGTTATACATATTCATTGACATTCTGGGAAATTAGCTACATATGCATAAGGGGCAGGGTCAGATCATGGCAAAGAAGTTTCTGACTGACTCCTCGTTTCTCTTAGGGGTTCGTCTGGAAACAGACGATGACACAGTTTTCATCACTTCCCTTGTTTTTAGTTCCTTGGCCAAAGCTTTTCAGTTCCTAGAGCTGAACTCATTTTGGGATGGTGTGAAGCCAGGGGGGTTGGCACATGGCTCACCTCTGCTCATGCTTCAGGGCAAATTTCTAACCTGGGAAAAACAAGTTCAGGAAATGTTAACCTCAAAGAAACAGCAGCTACAAAGATTAGCTAACCAGATTTATGCCCTTCTCTCCTCTTGATCTCTGGGCTTTCTGCTAACTCAGCTAAGCCTCTTTCCCTTCCTGCCTACCTGTCCCCTGCTTGTGGCACTAAGGCTTCCTCAGGGCAAAGAACACCTTTAAACAGCCCTACAGCCTGAACAGAGCCTGGCCCTGTGGAAGTCTGTGTCCTGGGCCCCAGTAATTTTATTTTCCAAACCAACATTGAGAGCCACAATCTAACAAGGACAACTATCCTTATAGGGACAAACGGCAGTGAATTTTAAATTAGCCTTGCCCTGAAACATCTGGGCTGCAGGACCATCATATGTTCGCATGCAGGCAGAAAGCCAGGAGCACCCCACTGGAAGGAAGGAGCTCAGTTGTGGGGAGAGGGGGAAGGGATCATGCTACCCCTAGTCTAGACTGGACTCTGACCCACCCAACCCCACTTCTCCCTGGAGTGGAATCCAGAAAAGGGAAAAATGACCTGTGTTACCTCTGGTTCAAAAGCTTTCTGCTTTGCCCCATCTAACTCCCTTTTCCTGCCATCTACAGAGATTTCAACCAAAGATCCTCAAGGTGGACTTCAAGTGTCTAGCCAAGGTGATTATCTCTCCACCTCTCCCTTTATCAAAAGAGGCTTGCGCCTAATTGTACTTCAACTTCTCCTCTGAGGCAAAGTGAGACTCACATATGCCTGCTTCCCATCCCTCCCCTGAATAAATACTTAGTTGTTGTCGCCCACTTCCAACTGACTGTGGACCACAAACATTGTGACCATCATGAAGGAAAATTCCCAGATTTAATCCTATTTTCAAGAGGCTGTATGGAGGGTGGGAAGAGACCAAGTTTTGGGGTTAGAAACTTCATAAGTGGGTAAAAGATGGTAATTTTTTAAAACTCTTATACCACCATTTCCTTGGCTCATCAAAATGGAGTTAATAACTACAGCAATCAGTTGTCATCAAGCTGAATCTGACTCATGACAACCCTATGTGTGTCACAGTAGAGCTATGCTCCATAGGGTTGTCAAAGGCTGATTTTTTTTTTTTTTAAGTAGATCACAAGACCTTTCTTCCAAGGTGCTCCTGGGTGGACTTGAACCTCCAACTTCTGGTTAACAGCTGAGTGCATTAACTGTTGCACCACCCAGAGACTCCAATACTTATGTGGTAAATCAGATCACAGAGGTAAAGTACATTATACAGGGCCTGGCACAGAGAAGATACTCAATACATATTAATTCTCCTCTTCTAGATCTTGTATCTTCTCCCCACCTCAGCTCTGGCCAGTGTGTCACCATCTGTGGTAGTTAAGGTTATGTGTCAACTTGGCTGGGCCTGGTTTTGAGTGACTGGGCAGCTGGATGTAGTTATTCCCCATGATGAGGCTGCTAATTAACACCATGATGGAATCTACTGTGAGCAGCTGAGTAGTAGCTGCCTCAGGGGTGTGGTCTGTTTCTAGTATATAAGAAGAAGCTTTGAGAAACAGCTTGAGGTTTTTTTTTTTTGTTTTGTTTTGTTTTGTTTTGTTTTTGGCACATCGGGATCCTGCATTTGGCTGAGTCCTCATCTCAGTGGCCTGTCATGTTGTCTGCCAATCTCAAGACCATTTCTGGACTTGAACTAGTGGCCAGCTGTGTTGCTTGATAATCTTGGAACTGTGCCATTTTATTTGTCAACCTGGGTTTGTCAGCCTCAGCAGCTAGCAGTTGCCTGGGTTAAGAGAAGGATCCAGCTTCAGTGGGCCAGGAGCAAAAGGCAGAGCTGAAGCCCAAGGTAAAGGAGCCTTCACCCAGCCCCTAGAGCTAGCACTTTGAACTTGGACTTCTAGTCTCCTAAACTGTAAGAGAATAAATCCCAGTTTCTTCAAACCACCCACATGTGGCATTTTCTGTTAGAGGGGCACTAGAGAACAAAACACCATCCAAAACCAAACCCCTTGCTGTTGAGTAGATTCTGATAATAGTGACCCTACAGGACAGAGAACAGCCCTCTCAAGTTTCCACGGCTGTCATCTTTACAGACCACCACTTGTCTGTCAGTTTGTTGTACTGTGATAGCCTGTGTGTTACTGTGAGGTTGGAAGCTATGCCACTGGTATTTCAAATACCAGCAGGGTTACCTATGGTGGAAAGGTTTCAGCAGAACTTCCAGACTAAGACAGACTGAGCAGAAGGACAGGGGTATCCATTTCTGAAAAAATTAGCCACTGAAAACTTTATGAAGAACAGTTAAACAATGTTTGATATATTTCTGGAAAACTTTATGAATAGCAATGAAACATTGTCTGTTATAGTGCTGAAAGATAGGCCTTTCAGGTTGGAAGGCAATCAAAGTATGACTGGAGAAGAGCTGCCTCCTCAAAGGAGAGTTGACCTTAATGATGTGGTTGGAGTAAACCTTTGGGACCTTCATGTATGAGGTATGAATCTAGGAAAATTGGAAGTTGTCAAAAATGAAATAGAGTGCGTACAGATAGGTATCCTGGGCATTAGTGAGCTGAAATGGACTGGTATTGGCCATTTTGAATCCCAACCTTCTAAGGAGTAGCTGGTGGGTTTGAACCTCCAGCTTTCTGGTTAACAGTCAAGTGCCTTAGGCACTACACCATCAGCGGTCCGCAGACAATCATATGGTCTACTATGTTGGGAATGACAAATTGAAGAAGAATGAGGTCACATTCATCCTCAAAATATTTCAAGATTAGTGTTGTTGTTAGGGATAAGATAATATTCACATGCTTACAATGAAAATCAATTAATACGACTATTATTCAAATTTATGCACCAACCACTAAAGCCAAAGATGAGGAAAATGAAGATTTTTACCAACTTCTGCAGTCTGAAATTGACCAAACATGCAATTAAGATGTACTGATAGTTAGTGATAGTGATTGGAATGTGAAAGTTGGAAACAAAGATTAAGCATTGGTAGTTGGAAAATATGGTCTTGGTAAAGAAATTATGCCAGAGATAGCATTATAGAATTTTGCAAGACCAGCTACTTATTCATCGCAAATACCTTTTTCAACAT